TATTTATTTATTCTTTTTTTTCTATTTATAGATTCTTTTGTTGTTGTTTGGCTCGAGTCATTGTTTTATAGGTCGATGACCTTTGATGACTCTCACTTTTCGTGAATAAAATTCATTCATTCATTCAAGCATCTGCGTATTGAAAGTTGTGGTACTGCCTATTTAGTGCACAATGCTAAATCAAAATATAAACGATACAGTATATCTTCAAAGACGCTTTTATTAGGCGTTCATTGGTTATTGGTAAACTCTATTTATTTTAGTAAGATGGTGGAAACTGTGGTTGTTACAGTCCTCCATCAATAAGAAGCCGTAGAGTGATTAATACGCCGGATAAAATATTAGGACCCCATTCCATATATCTCTAGAATTTTCAGGTTACGAAGGATAAAATACAAAGACAGATAACTGTTTCGTAAAACCAAGAAACGCATGACACAATTTGATCATATCGTTTTTGTTTTTATATTATAGGTCTGTCAGTTATGTTCTTATGAAATGGCAACTTGCAAAAGGATATTTGAGTGGCAAAATAAAGTACAGGCAATGGAAGTAATCTTATCTGATCTAACTCATGAAACGATTCTCTTGATAATATAACTTAACTCCAAAGTATATTTTAATATTTCGGACAAGAGACGACTTTAATACAAATCCTTTGTCGTGAAGTTGCACCATTTCGACCATCAATTTGATGCTATAATTTCGAAAACAAAATAAATCAAACGAGATTTTTATCGAAGGTGTTTTTCGTTGAGCAGACATTTCTATGACCCTTTTGTATTGTCCTATATGATAGAGTTAACAGCAGCTTTAAATCTTTTTATTAATTTATCTTTTTTATCTTTTTTTATTAATCTTTTTATTAATAAAAAGATTTAAAGCTGCTGTTAACTCTATCATATTTATTCTCAAATGTGTACCCATATCAAAAGAAAGATGTATGATCCTGTCTAGGAGATCGAGAGAATTAATTGGCGAAGAAAATTTTATCTAAAAATTTTACAAAAATTATAATCTATAGTTATTTACATACATAACGTGAAGAGCAACATAAAAATTCGGAATTAGAAGATGGTAAAATTATTTCTGATTCAAGCGCCATTAATTTAAAGAATATGCTCGTATTTTAATTAATGAATTAGAATATTGAACGGAATGAGCCAAGTCGAACTTCTTCAATGGCGATTTTCTATGGAATTCTAAACAAAAACTTGAACTATCAAAAATTTAATTTTTGCACTAAGTCGAACACATGAATTTAGTTTTGTAATTTTTAATAGAACCAAGTAGATTGTTCTTAGTCTATATATAATGTAAGACGATTGAAGTTGTGTAGGAAATATACACTAATTTGTGGATAAGCTTAGCACTTGAATTAAACAATTTACAGATTGTAAAAAAATGGAAATTTTTTTAAATTCTTTTATTTTAGAATATTATAGATATGTTTTTCGCTCTACAAATGAATCAATTGCTTATATGAATGACGGAAAGTGACGAACCTCAAATTTTCAATCAACGATATCAAATCATCAAGAAACTTGGTGCGGGTAATTTTGGAACAGCTTATCTTGTGTCAGATCTTAAAGCAAAACATGAACCGTAAGTTACAATTAACAACAAAAAACCTGATATTTAACTTTATCCTATTTATTTTTTATAGAAAAGTTCTTAAAGTTGTTCGTTTGGGTGAAATGGATTCGACTGAAACCGTCGAATCTGTTCGAGAAGCTCAATTATTATCAAAGCTAAAAAGTGAACATATTGTCAAAGTAAACAGTTTCATATTAACAAGAGTCAAATTTGTTCATTTTTCTCCTCTTTAGTTTCATGAAAGTTTTTTAGAAAATGATTGTGTATGTATAGTGACAGAATTTTGTGAAGTAAGTTAAAACAAATTTTTTTATTTATAATTGTTTTTATATTTTTGATTTTTTTAATATAGGGTGGTGATCTTGATATGAAAATAAAAGAACTTAAAAAGGAAAATAAACAACTATCCGAAGATCAAGTTGTAGAATGGCTCGTACAAATTTTAATAGCTGTTCAACATATGCATAAGTCAAAAGTATTACATCGAGATTTAAAAACAAGGTTCGAAGAAGAAGAAGAAAAAAACAAATCGTTTTGCTATTTAAATCTATTCTTGTTTGTTTCTATTATAGAAATATATTTCTCAAAGCTAATAAAATCAAAATTGGAGATTTTGGCATCAGTCGGATATTGGTAGGAACAATGGATGTCGCTACAACATTCACCGGCACACCGTAAAGACTCTTGTTACATATTGTTGAAATTTCGTTACGAATTTAATTTGAATTTAGATATTTCATGTCACCTGAAGTGATGAAACACGATGGTTACAGCTCAAAGTCTGATATATGGTTCGTATGTTCTTAACATCAAAAAACATGATTTATTCTGTATTTTGTATCTCGGCTTGATTTATAATATCTGAGTAAACTCATTTTTGCACCATTTTAGAGAATGGGCACTCATTGTAAACAGGTAATAAGAATCCTTCAAGAAATATTTTGTAAGAGCGACCGTTGAGAACTAAGAGGCAGTATTATAGAAAAATACAACAAAAAAAATCACAATATAAATTTTTTTTAAATAAAAGCTCTGTATGTCATGAGATAGGAAGTTGGTAGAAAGCTGTTAGAAAAGCTATTAGACATTTCTTAGCTCTTCTATATTCAAAAGAAGGTATGCAATAAAAGTTTGAAGAAAAGTGTAGTAGAAAGTTACTGGAATCGAATTGAGATACAAGGGTGACTCGTTTATTCTAAAGCATCTATTAATTTGAATGCATGAAACGACGGTAATATCTATGAATTATTTTGAGTTTTATTTGATTTTTTTAGGTCTGTCGGTTGTCTTTTATATGAGATGTGTACATTCCAACATGCCTTCGACGGTAAAGGTTTAATGAATGTTATATATAAAGTTGTTGAAGGAAAAACACCAGAATTACCAGTAACCTATTCAAAAGAACTGAATGATGTTTTAAAAAAGTAGGTAAATAAAAGCTTAAATTAATATTGAACTTGGACAAAAATACACATGTTATCTTTTTCATTTTAAAGAATGTTTATCAAGGAGCCTCAAAATCGGCCAAGTGCAGCCGAATTATTGGAATCATCTTTCATTCAAAAACATCGAGATGTAAGATTATAACATATAATCTGATTAGAAATTTTTTCAAAATTACGTTGAAAAACTTGAAGAATGACAGAGAGATTCTACAATTCATTATTTGTTTGTGTTAAAGATAAATTTTTGTTATAAAATGTTTTTTTACTGTTTCTATTAGCGAATCAAAATGACAGGTCCCTTAGAAAATACAATTGTTGGCAACTTACGGTCAAAAGAACTCGCTTCTATGTTGTATGTATATAGTCTTGCTCTTCTCTTATGTATTGAAACCACTTTATGTAATACTCTAATATTGCAGTAGCCAAAATTTAACTGTCCAAGACATGCAAAAACAAAAATGGTCTATATCAGGAAATAATCAACTGTTAGAGGAAGGAGACGATGATGAAGATGTTGTAAGCGAAACAAATGGTAACAATCGGCTTAATGACAATGATGATAAAAATGAACAAACATTGAAGCAACTTGAACCAAATGAATATACACAACAGAAAACACCTTCCGAACTTGCGAAAGAGCGAAAAAGAAAAGATGCAGATGCCAGAGCACAAATGTATACGTATGTTGAAAATTTGACTACACTTAATTATCAGTTTTTGACAAAACGAATCTATTTTAAGAGAGGCTATTCGGGCAAATGCGCATGAAGCAGCGACTCATAGACAACTAATGCGTGAGAGTACATTTTCAAGTGTAAGTAGATTGACAACGTAATTGACTAAGACGAACAATATATTTTCCTTTTTTAAGTTGAAACAGCCATGGCCATCAGATGATCATGAACATTCAATGAATAAATCGTCTAAAATTAGATCAAGTAAGTAATTTTTGGTCTAATGTTCTTAAATTACAGTATACACCATTGCCTTGCTCTATATTGACTATTTCATACTGTTTTGGTATTTTTCACTATGAAAATAATCATTTTTGTTTTGATCTCTAAGTCTCTTCTAAAATATTTCGATTTATTTGTTCATCCGTTTAGATGACAAAACCTTGTGTAATCAAACTTATTCTCGTAATACACTTCATCAAAGTTTGAGTCAATCACCATACTCGATTGATGAACGTCCAATAACACCGATGAGACAGGATTATAGACAAATCGCTGAGAGAGGTTTTAATCGAGATGGAATTCCAGTAGATCCAAATTTAACTAATGAATATTATTCAAATTTCAACCAAGATTTTGAACCGCCCGATACGTCACCAACTCGCGAAAATGCATTTCACGATCAAGTTTGTCGTAGTATCGATGGGGGTAGTCGTTCAAATCCATCACAACGAACAATGTCAGCATCACATCGTTCGATAAATTCACTGAGTCGTACAATAGATCCAAGACAACGACGAATAAGTCCGTCAAAATCATCAAAGTATTTAGCATCTTCTAGAACAATTGGACAGAAATCGAATGTGATGTCTTCTAATCAACTAACACATGATAGTTCGAAAGGCAGAGCCACATCATCAAGATCGAATATAACTGATGATAGTATGTATTTTAGAATGCCAGATACATTACACAAAAATACTAATATATCTCTTTTTTTAGATAATCTCAATATCACATTAAAAGATAACCCATTACACGATGCCTATGGGCCGATATCAAAAAATATTAAAATTAATAATCTTCGAACGTATCCTTTTATTTGTTCACTTTTTAAAATATTTTCATCATATAAAATTATACTGTATTTTTCTTTAACATGTGAAATAATTATTATTTTAGAAAAGCTATGAAAGCACTTGGCGAAGAAACATTTGAAATAGTACACGATTATTTGCTCAAACAACGTAAAGCACAACGAAATGATCCGACAATAGATGAAGTGAAAGTGTTGCGTGAACTAGAATCATTTGTGAAAAAGCCAAGTGATTGTTTTCTAGTTGATCAACTTGTATTTCTTGAAATTATGTAATCTATACAATCTATTCATCAATTTAATTCTTATATATGACATAACTGTCTTTCATCTTATAATTCAATGCATTTTACTAAACGATGAAGCTCAACGATCATTAACTGGTGTAGTAGACAGAGGGAAACATAAAGATATCAGAAAAAGTTTACTGTCAAATAATTTGTTCATTATTCTTGATATAATCAATTTTATTTGTTCACGATATAAAAAATATTTTTTTCTTTATGATAAACAATTCTTCAAATGAATTGATACTTAAAACGTATAAAGTGTTTTCTACGTGTTATTTGTATGTAATTTTGTCTTCTATTTTGATGTTTATTTTTTAAAATATATAAATATAATCGACGAAATTATTAGAAAAATATTTATTTTTAAACTTAAAAAGTAAATTTAATACATACAAATTTATGATGAAAATTATATATAATTAAAGCATGTGGTGATAAATTTTCTTGTATAAACTTGATTACAAATTAATGATAGAAAAGTATAAATAGCATTTTGGATAAATACTTCTCTACATGCAAAAAAAATAGTAACCTTTAGAGAAAAAAAAAAATCTTCTTTTTTTTCGTTCTCTTCGTTCGTCTACATCTTATCTATACAAATCACCAGCCGGTGTAAAATTTGTCTTTTATTAATATGACTATAAATTGAATAAGTAAATCGAAAGAATACAAAAAAACAAGCGTGAAATAGATTATATTTATATGAAACATTTCACTTAATAAAGATAAATTTTTTGTTCACTTTTTTTAATCGTATTGAAGAGGAAGTGAACATATCCGGAAAAATAATAATAATTTATATGTAAAGAAATGTTAAAGAAAAATAATCAAATAATAGTTTATAGATATTTATGTATGAATATAGTAGAAAGATCAAAGATAATAACAAAAATAAGACATTTTTTTTCTTTTCTTTTTTAAAAAAAAAAAATATTTAATTAAAATTAAATATAATGTTAAAAATATTATTTACAATTAATTCTACAAATATTACAACTCAACAACATCAATTGATTCAATCAAAAAATTATTCTAAACAACCTCATATTGATTCATGGTATATTGGAGGAATTATCTTTATGTTGTTAGTTATTGTTATTTTATTATATGCTAATTTTTATCGTAAAAATGCATTTCAAATATTACGGACAAAATTTTTAAAATATTTACATTTTAGACAATCACAAAGTCAATCAAACAATAATATTTATTGAAAAAATTATTTAAAATTTATTAAAATATAATATGATGACATTTAGAAGAATATTAAATTAAATGATGATCAATTAGACGTAGTGTGACATGTAGATTATCGAACGATCGATATTATGAAGACTATAGAATAAATATATTAGCGAGTTATATTATATTAGTGATAAATATTATTATTATTTCTAATTTTTAAAATTTAACATAATAGTATTCCAATATGACGAAAAACAAAATAGAACGATGAATGGAATGATTTGATGTCTACGATTATTATCTATTTTATTTTTTAGTAAAATATTTGACTAAACTCTCATTTTCTATTTTTAATTTGAAATTAAAAGAGAAAAAACAATAATAAAATTGAATTGATGTACGATATACAATATTCAAAATTGTATCGTTTCTACACCATTTATCTATTAGATACATTATTACCTATATTAGAAATCGTTTTCAGTAGTACTCTATATTAATCTATCAGTTAAATTCGATTATCACTGAAGAAAAATGACAATTATTTGAAATAACAACAACAACAACATTAAAACTTATGAATCAAATCTTGAATATTTGTCGTTTATTTTTATATATTATGAAAATATGAATATTAAATTTAAATAGTAAAATGGTAAATGAAATATTTTCTAAAATTTATTAGTTAATATTTTAAAAATAGTTGTATTTTTTTTGAATTTATATTCTATAATAGTCATCAATTGTATTTCATTTTTTATATTATTTTCTATCAATTATTTTTGTAATATATTATTTTAATTGATTTATTTTCTAGAAAGTATCATCATTGAAATGAAATGGATATTTTTAATCAAGTTTTTTTAAAATAGACGAATAATTGAGAGTAGAAGTTTTGCATCATTGTTTCAAACAGAAAAAAATAGAAGAAAAAAAACAAAAAAAAAAAAGAATTATCAGCTGTTATCACATTTTCAAATCATACTTATTGTTAAGTGAAGTAAAATATATATTTATATATAGTCACGTAAATATTTTATTATTATTCTTCTTTAATAAAAATAACAATTTGTATAACGTTGATATTTGTGTACCCTTTGATTAAAACATTGTTAACATTATATCTAAAACACATCTGTAGAATAATCGGTTTATTATTGATGATTTACCATTTTATATTTATGAGTGAATTTATTTGGATTTTTTCTAAATAATACGTTGTCATATTATGTAAACACTTATCATATTGAATAATTAACAAAAATGAGGGCAATTTCTAACATGCGATTTAGTCATCTGGCTTTGTCATTCATTATTAATCATAGAACAGTTTCTTCTCTTTTTTTTTAATAGTATATAGCGCTACAAATACGACCTCTTTCGTTTGTTATTATTGTCTTTGTAAGAAAAAGAAATAGTGATAAAAAAAAAAAAATATATAAATTATTAAAATTCTAATTCATTTCTCAATTGAACAGTAAAATAGAACGATAATACATAACTATGATAACTTAAAATAAATTTTATTATATTATTAAAATATTCAAATTTATTAAATATTACTATAATAATAAGATACTGGAAAATTTATTTTTTATATTAAAAGGTATATCGTGAAAGTTTGTAGGCTTCTATTTTTATCATAGATATAGTTCATAGTGATCTAAAATATCTTTCTTCTATTTTGTTTTTCCTTTTATTGTACATTGATTTAATTTCAAGAAAACTCGTCCATGTATTCTGTATTGATGGAAAATAAGCGATATCTATTTGTTGCTTTAGTGCGTCATATAATAATCCTACGCATGGAAAATATTAAACATGAGACTAAAACAGAAAACACGAAAATAATAACAAAAAAAAAAAATCAGGATGTTGTTCTGTATGTGCAATATAGAGATAGAGAATAGAAAATTTTAGTATCACTTTGCATTTTTTCATTGACTGCATATATATATATATATATATTTATCAAGCTAAAACTATAATAATATCATCAATTTTAAATATTTGTAAGTTATTTCTTTATAAAATTAAATTTATTTTTAAATATTTTCTTTCATTATTACAAGATGGAAGGAAATAGTAAATGTTGTGTATGTGATAAAACGGTTTATATTATGGAAAAATTAGTTGCTGATAATAAAATTTATCATAAACCATGTTTCAGATGCACACACTGTAAATCAGTTCTAAAGTAAATATAGAATATTTTATATTAAATACTAACATAGTTACTAAGATTAAACAATAGATATACTTTGCATGTCTTTTTTTCTTTCAGCTCCGATGGTATATTCATTGTTTCCTGAGGTGTTACTATCCGAATGTTTTAAACTACAGAACAAAAGAATGTTGTTCTGCTTTTGTTGCTAATCTTCTCAGAATTTGTATCACGTCCGCTATTATTTTCTTATTGACGACCTTGTGGAGTTGTGTCTTTCTCTCTTCTCATTCTGTACAAGAAAATAGAGCATAGTTATTGTTGTTTTTCCTTTCTGTATCACATAGTTTCCTACAGTACCTAGGAAATTACTTTCTCATCAGAAGAAAATAACCCTTTTCTTGATAATTAATTGGCTACTGAACTGCACTGCTATATGATTCCCATAGTCCTTCAACAAAACGCTGGAAAAATAAACAAATTCTATACTTATGCTAGTGAAATTTTTGAACTTACTCATCAAAAAGGAGCATATCGATGCAGTAGACTCTTCAAAACTAATTTATCTTCTCTTCTTTATTTAACAGACCAGGCAATTTTACATCGTTGGATGGAAAAATGTACTGCAAACCTCATTATTTACAACTATTCAAGGTGAAAGGCAATTATAAATCAGGATTTAATAACGAAGAACCAAAAGTTGTTCCTGTTGATCCTGTTGTTAATCAAGATCAACAATAAATTATTTTTTTAATCGATTTCAAGAGAATAATGGTGATACCAGAACGATTTATTTTTTCATTTAATTGTATTTAACTTTGATATCTTGTTTTATTGCTGCAAACTTTTTTTCACATATTATGTGACTGTATATGCATAATTTTTGTCAATTCAGTAAAATACTCATGTACATCACTTCTCCTTAGAGAAATGACGATATTCTCCCAGAATAGAGTTAAACGTCTGATTGAATTTAAATTCCTACCAGAAACAGAATATCGAAAAAGAAAATCGATGTATTTTTGCCCAGGATTATTTGAAATTTTCTTTTATAGATTCTCTGAAAAACCTCGGTTTTCATCCACGTATATTACGACTCCATCAAAACTTCATTTGATGACGCTCAAAATTTATCACAGATACCCGCAACCATGTCTCTGAATACAAATTTTGTTTAGACTTTTAATTTTTCTTTCTTAAAATATGAAAAAAAATGGTCAAAACACTACTTAAAACCTTGGATTTTGATTTTGATAATCTTGTAACTCAGAAAGAAAAAAATTTGCATTCTGAGACATGATCTCGGGCACCTGTGTGTCGACTAGATATAAGTATTCTGTAGAAGAGCATATTTTATGTGCGGAACATGTGGCTTATCACAGTGCTGGGCGAGTCAAGCTATTTTTCGAGTCGAGTCGAGTCCGAGTCATTTCATAGCGATTTCGAGTCGAGTCAAGTCGAGTCACCAGTGTTTTCGAGTCGAGTCAATATTATTTTTCTATTTTTTTCCGAGTACTATTTATTTTTATAGAGAACGTTAACCACAACTTTTCGATATTCGTTATCTACTTCTTAATTTTACATATATATATACTCTAATTAATTATATGTTCTTCACATTTATTCTACTTTTGTCTGACGAAGGCGTCTTTGATGTTGAAACGTAACAATAAAATAAAATAAGAAAGAGTATTCAGAAATAACCCAAATTTATACAAGAGGAAATGTATGCAAAGCAGTTAATGAATAGCATTTTTTTCGAATGAATGACTCGAGTCAAACAGCCGAGTCAACGTCTTGCAATTTTCGAGTCAGAGTCAAATCAGAGTCATTAAAAAAATGTGACTCGAGTCGACTCGACTCCGAGTCATGACTCGGACTCGCCCAGCACTGGCTTATCAAGACATTACGGTAATTTAAAGTCAGTCATACACGATCATCAAAACTTCGTCACCCATCAGACTGGAAGCAGTTAAAATTGAGCAAGTTGTGACATGGGTTATTTTGCAAATTCGTTTATAGACGGTTAAATCGTATGCCAGATTCTTATCCACATAGCTTGCTTTATTCGTTTTATTATGTATATTAGAAAAGTTTTTTTTTTAAAACAAATAGGTCTAGCTAATACTTGTATTTGTCTTTCTCCACGAGTGATATCTACTAACACAATTATTTTATTCATTAAATTAAACATAAGACACTCAAAAAACGATTTGAAAGCAATAAATAGCATAAATAACACATCCAAATATTAAAAAGCATCAGAAATTTTTACCAATCTACGATATAGACAAATGATTCAATTCTCAATTTTTAAAAATATATTGAATTCTCTATATATTTACTCTGTCAAGAAGCGAACAATTTTTATTTTGTTGATAATGAACAAAATAAAAATTGTTCGCTTCTTGATACTCCAAAAATTATTCAGCAGCGTCATCTATCCACCTATTTTTAATTTGTTAACGATGAACTAAATAATTGGTGGAAAAAAACAGAAACTAATAAATCATATCGTGAGATTTTGACTTCCATTCTGAAACTAACGTCAAATCTTCTGATTGATAGATCTGAAAAAAGATAAAAGGTAAATTGATTTTCCAAATGAGATTTTTTACGAATCTATCTCAATCTTGATCTCGATTAGTCTTGCTGATAACAACAATCGTACTATAAGTCGATCATCTGAGTCAACATCCAACGTAGAAAAAACATTATTCTCGCTAGAAGTCTAATATTTCTCTATGAAAAGCTAATTTTCTTGCTAATGACTACTGACTATTAAAAAGAATGAAATGTTTGAGGAGAGAAGCTGTTGATGAAACATCAACATATTTAGAACGATGACAATGTTGAAGAAATAGTGAAAACACTGAATGGAATTGAAAGAATAGAAAGAGGATTGTGATAACCAGTGGCGTAATCAAGGAAGGGCCCTAGGAGATACACATCCCTCCCTTAGAAAGAATAGAATAAAATATCAGCTATCAGCGGCATGTGTTTGTTTAGTCTTCTTTTTATATTAATCCATCTTTTTAGAAAAACTTTTAATTCTGTGTTTAGCTTTTTACGTTAATTATTTGAAATTAAGAGTGTATTTGATCAGACAAAACTAATTCTACTACTTTCTCTCGTGCAAATTTAATAGTATTTTGAGAATTATGGCAGCCGGGTAAAAATTTGACTGTTATGATTCTCAAAATTTGTTTGAAAAATTTGTCCCATTAGTTCGTCTAATATTAATTTAATACTGTTGAATTTAAATATAGTTTTTTCTTAATTCTACATATTATATAATTGTTTTTTTTTCTAATCTCAACATTAAAAATCATCATATAGAGTAAATTTTTTATTTGTTTTATTAGTTGAAGATGTTTATTTTACATTTAACTTTTTTTCTATTGATGAAATAATTACATTATATTCTATGTGCGTGCTTCTTGCACTTAATTTGACTTCTTATTTAATGTTGTAGCTAAAAAGGTTTTTTATTTTTGTTGACATTAGCATTAATGCCTTTTACACTAATCTTTAATATTCGAACGGACATTATTAGAGTGAAAAATGAATAATAAAAGAAAAAGAAACATTTTTTGTGTTTATTGCATAAAATGTTGTATTTAGCAGTTACGTTGTAATTTGTAAGTATAGCGTGCTTCTTGATTCTGATTTTAGTTTATTGTCGGAAAATAAAATGATACTAAATATAAAATCATATACATTCTCATCATTGGATAAGAAAAAATGTTTTCGTGACTATCATAAAATCATATTAAGTCGAATAAAATCTATATAAGAGTGCTATTGATAGTTTAGTAACTAGTGGAAAAAATGAACGTCAGTGATTATCTGCACATATCTTTGAATATGCTTAAGTAAGAATTAGTTAATTTTTATTAAATTATTGGAACAAATAGACGACTTTAATGCCTAAAAGGTAAAAACACACAATATCTAGAAATCTATGCAATGCTCTTTTTCTAAAGTGTTTCATGGGTGTGTCAAATTTTTCTGACGGATAGTACCATTAAAAATTATAGACTAAACAACAACGTAGTCTCAAGAGCCTATAACATTATTTATCACATAAACAAACTAAATGAGCGTGGTGAAAAAGATATTTTTGTATTTCTGTTTTAGATTTTATAAAAATTAGTAATCATCGAGTTGGAATGTTGGAAACGACAGATGTATCTTAATTATTGTTTCTAGAAGATCTTAAATTCTTAATTATAACATTGAAAACAAAAATGGATCATCGATTTCGAATTGTTGGTGATGTTTCTATGAAAACAAAGAGTATTATGAAAGCACGTAAAGTTGAAATAAATTATGGAAAGAAAAATTCGGAAGAATTAGGTATTATTCAGATACGTGAACCATTAACAACTGAATTACCATATTTTCTTGTTCATGTTACGAAATGTGGTATGTTAATCGTCTATATTTTAATGACTAAATTACATATTAGTTAATGTATGTTATTTAGATCCAGATGCTACCATAGCCATTGGTATTGCTTCACCAGATATTGATAATCATGCAGGTGACTAATAAAATACACATATTTCTATCTTAAATAATGAATTGATTTACTCTATTCAGGTTTATACAATAACTCTATTGGATATCACAGTATAACAGGCCGTGTTTATTCTTCTTACAAAGTGCATGCAAATACATTAGGCGTACCATATGGCAAAGGTTGAAACTCTTAGTTTTCAACTCATATAAGATTAATTATTTTTGATTTATATATTTAGATGACACCATTAGTTTATATGTGACATATTTTGGAAATTACTTATCTACTACACTATTTTATTTGAACAAGACACCAGTCGCCACAAGGTAATATATAATTTCCATTTTTTTTTATAATTAACTGTCTATTTTTTTGCTGTATTTCTTTCTAGATATCATTTTGAATCGAAAAAAGAACGTTATTTACCAACAATAACATTTTCCGGTGGTCGAATTGATGTTGCTGTTTTGTGGCAACAAGCAGTCGATCAATTACCGTCAGTTTCTGATGTAGGTGGACTAGGTATTCCGATTGTTTTTTGGCCCGGAGGGGAGGGGAGAAGGAGGGCTATAATTGTGATGAAAAGCTTATTAAAATATCTTGCGGAAAGTGACGGAGGGTTTCCTGCATAAATTACTGCATAAATGAGTCGAACTTTTGTAATTTTTAACTCTCATTCTATTTTTAATTGCAGTTTTAACATGTTAAAATGAATTAAGGGTGTTACAGCCACTCAAGTCTTAAAATTTAAACTCTTATTTCTATTTTTCAACTCGAGACGATAAAACAAATCAGTTAGATGTGAAATACTTAGGAAAGAAAAACAGACTTTCATGTAATATAAAAGAGTAATCGGGATCGCTGCGGTGAACAGGAGTACAATAATATTTGTTTTTAATTAGAATGAAAGTTGTTTTATTTAGATTCCAATATCTCAGTGGATCAGGGCCCCAATGAGTACATATAATTCACAAACAACATATTTTGAAAATCCATCAAAATTAGAAGATTTACCAGTGCAAAGTCCCATACCTTTAGGAAAATCATTTCGCTATTTTGTCGTTACTCAACAAGACGTATTGAGTTCAGGAAAAGGAGCAAGTGTTGGTTTAGCAACTTGTTCACCTTTAAAACCTACACCCACGTGTTCCTTACTCAAAGATTATTATACCTGGTATCCCAAACTAAAAAGTAAGAAAATATTATAGTAATTTCTTTGAAGAAGTTTCATTTGTATTTTTTTTAGTGAAAGTGGGTAATACAATTGGTTGGGGTGTCTTTTATGATGAAGAATGTCAAGATGATAAAGCTGAACAATTATGTTTGGTTTATGTTATGTTTAATTCCGTTATTGTCGATGCATTGTTTGTTCTGCAGCCGGATGGTGGATTTATGCCTGTTGTTCTCTTACAACCATATGGTATAGATGAAGATTATATTATTTTACGTATAAACTAGACGTCTTTATTATTTTTAGCCACGAAAGTTTCTATTGAAAAAATGAATACACAAACGAAAGAAGATTTGACAAGACTTCAAACACTTTATAAACAAATGTTAGGACCTGCAGTAGAAGTGTATGAAAAAGATGTACGTGAACGCGAATTAGTTCGAGACTATTTTCGTCAAAGCGAACATGTATCAATAATAGTGAATAGTCAAACATGTGTTATATCCATACCAAAAAACGAGAGTGGAACTCATTATGTGCAATTTTTGAAACCCTTGACATATGATAGAAGATTCTTTTTTGTTGAATTAGAGCAAATAAGTAAATGATGTTTGATTCTAGTTTTGTATTATCGACATTAAAATTAAATTTTATTTTCCTATTAAGGTGAACAATCACAAATTATTATTGGTGTTGCATCATCGAAAAACTCCCTGAGTAAATTACCCGGTCTAGTTACGGATACAGTTGGTTATCATTCATCAGAAGGAAAATTATACTATAATAACAAAGATGTTGGTAATATGAAAGGGCATGTTTGTAAGAGAGGTTAGTCATTTTTTAAATTATATATCTATATTTTTTTGCTTTCTGAAACAATTCGTCTTTCTAACTAATATATTTTTTCTTTAGGAGACACAATGGGAATTGAGATTGAAGTGTTTGATAAAGATATGTCAGTAGCTTTGTTTTCAAAAAATTTTCGTCCTGTTGGTAAGTTAGTTAATCTTCGATAAATTAATGTTAATGTCAATGAACTGTTATTTTTAGGCACACGTTTTCTTACGTTGCAAGATCATTCAGAATTTATGCCAACAATTATGATCGAAAGTTATGGAGAACCGATAGAACTACTCGTCTATTGGCACACAAGAGTTTCTGTACCGCCTCATTTTAGCGTTGTATGTTAATCAATATTTATTTATTCGCCCACTATTTAAAAAAGGCTCATATTGTTTGTAGCGTAATGCTGAAGATTGGTGTATACCAGAAGGAACAAAAGTAGATATTAAAGAAAAAGTTTTTCAATTACCTCCACATTTTGATACAAGTTCATGCATTCAGGCTCCATACAGTTTACATCGTAGTATGTAGAAAAAGAGTTTTTAGTTTAGAAAGAAAAAATATTTTGGTTATTTCTACTGTATTTTAGAATATAATCATTTTGAAATCGTTTTAATTGATAAATTCAGTGAAAATAATCCACCACCAGCAATTGCATTGTGTACAGCTTCTCCACTAGATCCTCCACCAAAGTCTCAATTTAAACAAGATTATCTTAGGTAATTAAAATGATTCAAAATCAATCTAGTTTCATGCGTATTGTAACAGCAGCTATCGAGAAAATAGATGCAATAATTTATTAAAACTCTTCACCATTCTAACTATAAAAACGTCTACTTTAGACGATTTTTAATATACATGTAACAGTTTTCTTGTTTCATCCTTATATTTGTATTATCGATATTTTTGTTCTCTCACAAATAACCCAAACATGGTTCAAAACGTCGAATTTTAATAAAATTCATTTACGTATTAATAACTGCTCTTTCAATATGAATTTAGGTTTTGGCCAACAGGAGATGCAGCAAAATATATCAAACAAGGTGATAGGTAAGAGAATTAACAGTGAATAGTAGTATCAATACGTGATGAACTCTATGTTATTGTAGACTTGGCTGGGGAATAATGTATCCAGATGAAACAATCGCAAAAGAAGAAGAACAATTGGTTATTTGCTATTTGACTGTTAATCGCAATGTTGGATATGTAAGGGTGTTGTTTCAACCACCTGGTGGACTATATCCAGTTGTTATTGGTAAGATACAATTAAAAAAACAGTTAAATAAATAATATTAATGTACATTTTTTTTCTTCTTTAGCACCACCAAATGGTATAATACAATCAGTTTTAATTAAAAAAATATACACATTTATTCTTTTATTTAGTAACTCGTATTAAAATGGACTTTTCCGGTACGAGAATTAGTACGCAAGACTTTACAGATGAACAAGTAAAAAGTATAATAAGTGATGCCCGAAGACAAATTGAAGAAGAACATAAACATCAAGCACACAGTAAGAAGAAATTTTAAGTTTGCACGATGATTTACATTTAACACTTCTTCAGCAGCCGTTTTTTATCTTATGAATTCATCTAAAATACTGATTTGGCTATTGAGTATAAATTTTCGAGTCCTCTTAATAATTATTATTCATGATTTCTATTGACGTTTATTGATTATATACGAACTCATTTATAGTGCTAAATTCTTTCTATCTATTAGGTTTTTCTCATGAATGAAACAGTCAACTGTATTCTTTTATTCGTTTTTAGCCTAATTTTCATTTATTTCATAAGTATTTATTTCAATTTGGCCTTTTTTAAAAAAAGTTTTCCTGATACGTAAGTACAGTACATGTCATTGTAACAAAGAGAGCTACAAAATCCATTTAGTATTAGCTAAAGCTAGCCAGTTGTTTGTTGCACTTTGCACTAAAGCTTATAGTTTTTAATTCGTTATTTCGAAAACCTACCACTTTTTATATTTTAGTAGCTTTTTCTTGCATTATATATTTAGTTTACGCTACGTTGTTTTTACAATATAGATTATGCATGCATTTTCACGTTACAATTTATGATATTTTAAAACAGAAGTATCTTTTGAACATTTGTTCAGTCCTTTTTAGTAATTTAAGATTGTGAACAAAGTACAACCGTTTTCATGCATTATAATGCTGAATTTACAAGAATAATCTGATTTCCGATTCATCCTCTTTCTCAAAATTTTTGGACCAGAAAAAAATAAAAATAGCATATAAAACCATTGACGGTTAGTTCGAAAGATGAGAATACTATTGTTATTGAACAACAGAAACCATCCATAATTTATTCAAAGAAGCTTAGTAATATATTCCTTCACAATTCAAATGTTGAAAAAAGATTTTTTTGTTTCAAAAACAAAATTTTATTTAAGTCTGAGAGAGATTTGAATTTAATTTTTAATGAAATATAGAAATCTTTAAGATTACCAGCAATACATCGAAGTAGCGACACTTTGCCTATATACTTTCCACTTTAAAAGTAATATGGTCATTGTTCACAAACAGTCATACTAAACGATACATTAAATCTCACAATACCATGCATGATGCTATTAAATGTTTCTCCTCTGGTTATATAAAATAATTTTCTTCACTGTTATAGGCAGTGCTACAAAAAAAAAGAAACGATCGAGTGTAGTTCAAGTGCAATTGGCTCACAATGACTCTGATTTTAATTCTAACGATGTGGAACAATATGAAGATGATGATGAGCCGGTGAAATCAATAGCGTGCATAATTCTCTAAAATAAAGAAAAAAAAAAAAAGAAAAGAAATATGGTTAAAAAGATTATGACTATTATTTAAGTTTATAGTCTGAAGCTTAAAGACAATGTAAAACCACATAGACATAATCGGAGTAAAATAGTACTTATGATCATGGAAGAATCTGATATAATTTTTTATTTTCCACAACAGTATTGTAACAAAAAGTAAATGTTATGTTTTCTACTTGTATATTTGCCATTTGTGTTATTTATATCCAGACAAATGACTGTTTTTGTGTTGTTCGTAAAGCTATTATTGTTCCTCACTTTATTCTTTAACATTTAAATTTTTTATAGTTTCAATTGGTTTCTGTCAGATTTTGGTAGTTCTATTGATTATTTAAACATGGCTTTATGTGCCTTTGTTTGTATGATTTCTCACAAAAAATGATCTCTTTCCTTCTTGCACGTTTAAATAAATGTTCTATTCTTTGAGTTTTAAAATATCCATTTTTTATATTATGCTTTTCCATGTAAAATATTTTATTTGTTTCGGCTTTTCTCTAGTTTAATGAAATATCATTTTTGACTCGATGTTATTTTTAGACTTTATTTATTCGAATTTATTACCATTTGACTATAGATCAATGATTCATGACATGTGCATAATGAATACAAACTTTATTATTCATTTTCTCAGTTACGTGTACGTTCTTCGTTGTTTTTATTGTTGTATCTTTTTTTTCTTTTTGTTGCGTATAGTTGTTGATTCTTATTCACGAATAAATATGTGTCTATTTCATTTCTAGAATATTAAGTAATACAAGAGAAACGTGCAAAATGTAAAATATAAAAATGTAATCTCATTTGTTTCAGCACAAACCACGTATCAATATCGATTAGTAAATAATAAATTGTATAATATGGTATATTCCAAATTTTTAATAGAGGGAAAGTACGAATCACCTATTTTAATTTCGATTTTTCATACTTACAAATTAATGTGGCAAAAATAACTCGAATGCATACGCAGTCTCATGAGCTTAGCTATCATTAATCAAATGAAATTTTTTACTCAGAACATACTGTTTATATTCATCGGAGTGCATAGACTCTAAGTTAAAATCTCGAAATTTTGTACAATCAAAAAGGATCTTTTATTTTGACATAAATATTCCAAAATAAATATGGCTTCCATTTAAGTTGTACGCTATGCGCTGATCCAAAATATTTATAATCTCATGATTCAACTAACTTTGCCACTCTTTTATAATTATCATTTTTGAAACTTTGTTTCGTTATTCTTGTTCGGTATTTTATTCGAAGAGCAAAAAAACTGATCCTCAAATTTTCCAGTTCCTACAAAAGACACCGAGCTACTTTGAAGTGAAAAGGAATCTAAATGCTACAAAGACGGACGCAAGTGTTTTTAAAAAAGTGTTTTTTACTTAATTTTACATGGATATCTTTGGCAGTAATAATGGATCCGACAAGTAGATATAGCAACTGCAAAAAATAACACAACGGAGACAAATTTCGAGAAAAGACGATGTATGAGGAACTTTTTTCCTACAAGGGAGGACAAGACAAAATACATTTGCTGTTAGAATATTATCCCGTTCGTTTATAAGCAGCTACATTCTCTGTTTCTTCGTCTGTTGGCCTGTTTCCAACGATCTGAAGTGGAGAGAATATGCTAAGGATGTTGCTCTTACTTGTTGGCGCAGCCTGAGAACAATGAGTCGTGTCTTTGAATTAGCTCCACTAGAAGTCCGGTATCGAATCTTTCTTTCCGATATTCTCATTAAAATTAATTGTTATTATACTTCCTATGACAGTTCATTTTTTTTTCTCTGTTCGTGGTCTGTAAATAAACTTTCTTCTTGTGTTATGTCTCTCGAAATTTTGACAAAATAATTTCTCTAGGTCCTTGTTTGGTTCAAAACTTCTCTTACAAATCTCTTCGCTCACCGTGAATACTTTAGACTTGCGCATTTCTTCAAAATTACTCCGTTGAAATCTCTTCTACGGTAAACTCTTGTCATGTCTATATTCATCTGCTGCTTGTGTTAATTATCTACATATTTATTTTAATTTTATATGATAATCTGTTTTTGTTCATTTATCTGTGTTCATCCTTCTAGTTTTCTTCTGTCTGTTTATCGTTACCCAGGTCAAAAAATCAGATCAAGATCTTATAAAATCTTACGAAAAATCATAGAAACAGATTCATTTTATAAAAATCATACAAGAATCTTACAAAACATAGAAACTGATTCTTGATGTAAGATCTTATAGTAAGATTTCATGAGATTTCGTAAGATTCTTGTATGATTTTTATAAAATGAATCTGTTTCTATAATTTTCCGTAAGATTTTATAAGATCGTGTAAAATCTTGATCTGATTTTTTGACCTGGGTTCCTTCAACTTCACACATCACCTGAGCATAAATAAAGTGCATGGCTATAAGACGTGGTCCTATGTCAAAGAATCTTGCTGTAAGATCTTATGAGATTCTTGTACGATTCCGTCTGATTTCGTAAAATTCGTATAAGAATTTGTAAGATTCTTGTATAAATTTTATAGGATGAATCCGTTTCTATGATTTTCCGTAAGATTTTATAACATCTTGTAAAACCTTACAGAAAATCATAGAAATCGATTCATCTTATAAAATTTTATAAAAATGATACAAGAACCTTACGAAATCTGATGAAATCTTACTATAAGATCTTACATCAAGAATCGGTTTTCTGTGTTTCTTACGGAATCTTGCAAATCCTTATACGAATCTTACGAAATTAGCCGGAATCGTACAAGAATCTTATAAGATCTTGCAGCAAGATTCTTTGATCTGGGTATATACTATATACGGTAGCAAAATTTCTGTGATAAGAATGAATCACTTCTTGTAAGATTTTATAAGACCTTGTAGCTAGATTGCATAAGAAATTATCAGATCTTATAAGATCTTGTAAGACGTCTTTCACCTGGGTGACTGCTATCGCAAGACGAAACAATTTAACACAAATAGCTTTCCTTACACACAGATAATTTAAGGAGCGATAGACAATACATGATCAATTCAAATATAATCTTTTTTGAAAAAGTTTTACGAGACAGTAGGCATGCACCGGTATTTACCGATATATTTTCCTCTTCGTCTGAATTAGATTGATTGAAAATCACAAGCTATCGAAGTATCTTGATGACTCAGTTTTGTAGAGCAAACATTTTTTCACAAAATGACGTTCCGGACAACTTTTCATATTTTTTCTTTCTGCCACAATCGATTGACGAAAACTCCTAAACCGGTATCGGTACTGGTCGTGGGACGTTTAGCAAACATTTTTTATCTGACTACTGTTTCAAGATTGGAAAGTGTTGCTTTAGTCTGTAGAGAAATGTGTGTTCTGCAAAACTAAGTTATCAAAAAAATTTCAGAAGATCATTCTACGGTATAAATAGTATTTATAAAAAAACACAGAATTTCAATCGGTAAATAGCGGTGCATGTTTAAATGAGAGAGGGTCGCTTTTCGCGGTGACAAATATCGTTGCGCAATAGAGCTACGCATAATGTCCTGATTAGGTACCACTTCTTGCGCAAAATGGGGCAGAGTATCAAAAAGTGATTTGATTATCAAAATAATTATTTTACAGTGAAACTAATACTTAGATAGAATTACTTACAAAAAGTAGGACATCTAGCACTCCGGTAGACGTCTGAGTTTGCAGTGTCATCTACTGATCTGTATGATTCGTCTTTGCGTAGACCAGTCATTCTCTGGCGGGCTTCTTTCTTTGTTCGATTCTGACAATATATACTATAGACACAAGTGATCGATAAATAGGTGAATCTACTATGAGAAACAACCAGTGTCACAGTAAAATGGGAACAAAACATTTTTTCTCTTCTCTCGACTTTTTATGTAAGGCATGAGCAAAAATGTGATCATCTTTATTCATCTACTGTAGTTTTGATTATTGTATATTTTCCTCAATTTTCTACGACTAATTGTAGATAATTGTGATAAAACTCATGGATCAATCTTTGCGACACATTTTGCTCAAAATTCAAGCACCAACAGATGATATTCTGAAAAACAAAAATACTAGTAAGTCGCTTCATTCATCATCACAATTGTCATTCACTCTGTTTATCTGAGTAAGTGATAATGCATCTCAATTGTTAATTTTCACTGTCTCGAGCAGTGCTCGGTAGATCTTCACCTTTTCTGTACATTGTGTTATCGATCAGTGTATTCTTGTTTCTTACAGATTTTCGTTCAGTTCGTCGAGCAAGAAAAACATGTTCGCCTGGTATGATTAGGCTTAATTGACAACAGGTGTCTTACATTCACTAATTTTTCTCTTATATTTCAGCTAATTTAGATAAAGACGAAGTCACCGATGAAACCACATCATCATTTGTAACATTGATCAATGATATGACCACTGATATCCACTCCAAAAACCAACAATTCAATGACTCATTGCGTCCAGAAAATTTAACCGTTACAGATATAACGATGAAAAAGTGAGTTACTTACAACTGGAAATCTGACTTGTAAAATCTTTCTTTTTCAGAAAAACAATAGATTTATTTCATCAAATGACAGATTTATTATTATTTCCATCATCACGAAATAGTCCAAATAAAGCTGTTGCCTGTATCCTTTTATATAGATGAAAGAAAAAAGCATCACTCTCTAGAACTACGTCGTAGTAATAGTACATAAGGTTGAATTGCATTTCTAGGTATTTCAGAGACATTTTGTATACTTGACGTCAGATCCTTAGTGTATAAGCTCAGTTATCAGCTGATCTACGAGGCAGTGTTTTTCTAAGTACAAACATTTTATTTAATTTTAACCAAATACTTTCACAGATGATTTAAAAGAGAAGAAAATGGTCGAGTTTTACGCTGATAATCAAGAAAATGTGATTGATAAACTTTGGTCTTATATTGGTCGGCATGTTAGCGCTGAAACAATAACACAAATAATGGAAGCATCGACTAAAAAGGAGGGGACGGTAACAAAGAAATCACGACGAACAAAAGACGAAGGGCGACAAAGTTCAACAAAAGCAATAACAACAAGTTCTAATCAAACAAAAGCGAGACAAACAAAAAAACGAACAACTCGAGAAAGCCGTATATGACAATTTAGTGCAATTGAGGCTTTTTGCGTTTAAAAATAATCTGATGTGTATCTTTTTCTTTATCGTGCTTGATAAAATGTATTTTTTTGTAAATAATAAGCATTTAATTGCTTGGGAGTGGCTTCGTTGTTCTATTTGTGTAGTTGAAGTTCTGCAACTGTTTGCCCATGAAATGTTAAAAGTGTTTACATTTATGTTTTTGATAATCGTGTTGTAATTTAAACACCACTTGGAACAGAAGAAATATTGACCTGTATATTTTGTATCGTGACTCTAGGATGTTTTCATCAAAAAATTAGACACGAATGTAATGAGAAATTTTGTGATTTGTCAGGGTAAAAATGATAAAGCTGTTGTTCGTCAGTTGCTTTAAAAGTAGTGTGACGAATCTCAATGGCATGAATCTTATAATAACCTTGGACAATTTACTGAAATCTTCGTGCTTCGAATCATCTGTGCGATGGCGTACTTCTCCATTGTAACATCCCATATGTTGCTAACCCTAATGACTTGTCGAAAAACTTATGTGATTCGCAAGAATATATGCAAATTTCAAACAATTAAGCGGAGCAACTCTACGTTAGACCAGTTCTTCTATCCAGAGTTGTAGTCAATGATTCGTGAGGTGAACATTTTCAAGAGATTATCAAATACACAAAAACTATTTAGCTAACAAACAAATGTCTCATGGGCTTGTGAGTACCGTATAATGATGACCGCAATGCGGGATTTTTTCCATTTTCCACAGAAAAACGGATGTTTATGAATGCTCTACAAAGTTTATTTGAATCCAGTAACATCATAGAATTTGTTATTATCAATTGCAAATAATTATCCTTCAAATTAATTTGATGTTATTTCGTTTTGCTTTCCCAGATTTATATGATATTCCATGTTTTGTTTTGATTAACAACTGATAATTTCAAATCTGTTGTTTCACGGTCAATTGAGAAGATTACTTCTGAGTAATTTTCTTGTGAACATGGTCGACTTAGTGTTTTCGTAGCTCTCCACGTGAAAAGCAGATTTTATAAAAAACAGAGTTTTGTGCGTGAAAGTTGAAGATTTTCGGACCTCTTTTCTTCGTTTTAGAACTTAGCCATTTTGTAGTTTACAAAAATCTTTCACACATGGTTTTGTGGAGAACTGCATGACAATTCTGATGGGGAAAAATTGGCCCGATCAGATTTAAACTGACGAAGTTATAGAGGAAACAAAATAGTCCGTTTTATTCTGCGCCACCCGTTATTTCTATTTCTGCCTGAACGACAGAAGTAAATTAGCGCTTATCTCGACTAGGACAACTTTTGTGATGCTGTTGTGGAACAACAAATGTAGAAAATTAAACTTTACATTGACCACACAGTGGGCATCCAAGCGGAAATTTGATCAAAAAAGCGAAGTTTACTTTTCCTTGATTTGAAGATCGTGGTATATACTTCAACTAATGGGGTATCTAATGGCAAAAAAATGTTTTTGTCTGAAGTCGTTTCTTCGTGGGAAAAAGTTAGATGAAAAATTCTCTCTATAATTTGCTAACTATTTGAAAAAAGTCAATTTTCTCAGCGTAGATTTAGTTTTAATCTCAATCTAAGAACATATTCGGAATCAGCAGAATTTGGGCTATCTACTGCTATAAAAAAAAATTTCCTTCCGCATTCGAGCTAAAATAATTTAAACGTTTTTCTAAAAAAAAGGTTTTTCCAAAAGGTTTGCCTAGTACAGAGAGTTTTCCGAACTTTTTCAAACTCATAGAACCTTCATCTCTTACCAAAATGAGCTCCGTAATCTCATGCATTTATAGTATTAACCTTTAGTCGCCTAACTTTAACTGGAGCCTAGACAGATTTTTCAAAACCTCTCGGTTTTTGAGGATAAAACAAGCTTTCTGCGTCCTAAGATCATGTTTTTCTGTATAAAATGTACATATTAAGAATCAGCGTGAAAAACTGCATCGAGTGATGTATAATAATATTTATTTAAGTGTAGGAAAAAATTTTGAACTTGTATAGCCAAGGTTTTCAAAGGTTGTCACATAAATTTTGCCAAGAAAAGAGAAAACCTCTGTTATTATTTATTTCTGCTTCTTCACACACTGTTCTATTCTTTATTTTCTCACATTTTCATAAAACATGACTAAAAATTTGCTCTGCCGTTCTATTTTGCTCTCTATAAGAACATTCTAGAAAAGAGAATCATGTGAAATAATAAGAAACAGGTTTTGTTGTTTTCTCTCTCTCTCTCTCTCTCTCTCTCTCTCTCTCTAGCGATTGAAGTGAAGGAATTACGAAAGGCTACGTTAGCTTTTACCTTAATTATAGCAGATCAGTATCCTTTTATAGAATACAATCTGACTGTTCATAATCTTATCTTTCACTGTTGTGAACTAATCGAAAAAAATGACAATGTAACTCTAGGAGCGCTTTCTGAAGAAGCACTAGAAGCTACAAACAAATATGTTCGTAACTACAGAGAACACTTGGCACGCAAATGTGGCCACGTCCCTAATTTGACAGACGTATTTTCACGGCTGTTCGTTTTATTGTGATGCACGCGCTCAATAAAAGGAGAAACAGTGAAAGTGCAGCAACTTCAACAGATATTAATGAGGACGACACAATTTTGGATATTCTGTTTGGCAAGCCGTAAAGTGGCAGACAAAGATCCTCCGACTTTGATGAGATCTGGCATTTATCACAGTGATCTCTTCCTTTGTTTCAATTGATCCTATCCTACTCTTTGTTTGTTTTATCTTCGTTTTTTTTGGTTAATTCGGTTAGCCCCTGATTTTTCTTGTTTTACCTAATAAATTGATTGTTTTCTGTTGGCTACCGATGATTTTAAGTTTTTTTACTCGTTTCTTCTCGATATAAGGAGACCTCTTCATGGCGAGAAGGAGAAACGATGGTTAAAACCTCGGTAAACAGCCCTGTTTTTCAAAAACCTCAAGGATGAGTGAGGTGTTTTTATCTAGCTAAAAAAATGATTAATTGGTAAGACTTGTTCGTTAGTTGAGAAACTATTTTTACATAAGAGACTTGTTATAATCTATAATGTGACACGGTTTTGTCGATTCACTGACCCTTCCGCGAACCGAGTACTATCTAACGAAAAATCGATGCGACACCAGAGTTGGAACCGGATCGGTGAACCCAAATTCAACCGTCCGGTTGGTGTCGCTTTTTTTACTGGTTTACAAAATTTCCTAGCCGATCAATTGGTTTGAATTTTTTGTAACTAATTCTATGTTACAATGGTACAGAGCATTGCACTTTTAGATATAGGCGTGCCCAGTCCTCAGTCAGTTTTCGCCGTCCTATACAGTGAAGACATGCCACGCCTAAGCTGCTGAAATGGTCCACTTGCTCAGAAAAAAACTGCTAGAATTTATGCACTTAAACGGTTTCGTACTGCACCGTGTCTTCTACGAAACCTAAAAGGGTTTAGAAATGGTTGCACTTCTCTATATCCTCTTAAGTTTCGTAATAAACCTTTTTTTTAGAGAGCAGTCTCGATCCCGGAAAAAATGTTGCTCATAAAACACAAAACAGCCGTTCATAACGAAAAGTTTTTACTGTTTTTATGAAGTTGTTAAAAAGAATTCTTGATTCTTGTCTCGCTCCCGATCCCATTCCCGTTGCGATCGGAACAGACCAGGAACACAAAGGAACAATTTTCATTGAATCTAACGCTCCCGTCTCACTGCTCTTTGGACCAACCTAAATAATTATTTTACTGCGAGATTCGAACAACTTTTTTCTACTTAAAGATGTAAAATAGTCCAATACTCGATACTTGAACACCTTTAATTTTTGCGTGAAGCAGCATGCGCATATGCATCGTTAACTTTAATCAGTCTTTCGCAGGGTTCCGCTATAAGAGTCTTGGACTCTGTTACATTTCTAAGTAGAAAAAAATCTTGCGAATCTGATAATAAAAGCACTATTTAATTTGGCCAAAGAATGAGTCAGTTATATATTTAAGACTCAGTTTGAATGTTATATTAGATGCTAGATATTATTTTCATTACTGTCAATATGCGACATCGTTATTTCTGTTGTGCTATTAGTTGATCAAAATGATCCATAAGCAGACCAGGGTTGTCACACATCGTTAGACGTCCGCAACGGGGAAATAAAAGCGGAAAGACTTTCAGCGAAAAACGAGACAAAAATAGAAAGCAGATTCAGGAAGGATAGGATTCCCGTTATGCAATAATAGAAAATAAATTTATCAAAAGTGATTACATCCGTTCAAGAGAGGAAAAAGCGGAAACGGCGGTAAAAAATAAAGTTCAAAAGTGGAAAAGGTGCAAACATTATTTTTTTGCTAGGTCCTTCCTTCCAGTGAGGGATTTAGCTCCATACGCGCACCCTAGTTTAAACTGGACTGAAAGTTAGACCTCAACCCCAGTATATTCTGGCTAAATACTGATTTCCAAAACTTTTTTCTAAAGCATTTGACTCTGTTTCTCATTCTCTCTTGTTAGAAAAATTATCTCGTTGTGGTGTGCGTGATTCCTTGTTGTCTCTTCTATCTTCTTATCTTTCGAACCGTTCTCAGTGCGTGCGTGTGAATGATTCTGTCTCTTCTTTCGTTCCTTCTGGTGTTTGCTTGGGCCTCTTTTATTTCTTATTTTTATTAATGATCTACCCCTGTCACTTCCACCTAATTGTGAAATCTGTCTCTTTGCTGATGATGTTTTTTTGATTGTTCCTCTTTCCTCTACTGATTCTTCTAATTTTTCTCATGTTCAAAACTGTATAAACTCTGTTTCTCACTGGTCTTCCAATCTCATGTCTTTAAACGCTTCTAAATGTTCTTGGCTTCCTTTCAACATATTTCCGGAGGCTCTTTGGATTAGCTCCAACTGAAATTCGGCGTCGAATCTATCTTTCTTCTATTCTTCCTAAAATCGACTATTGCTGTTCCTTGTACGACAGTTCGTTTTCTCTTACTGTTCTTGATTCTGTAAACAAACTCGCTTCTCGTATTATTTCTCGCAATTTTGATTACCGTTCTTCTAGTTCTCTACTTGTGTCTCATCTTTCTCTTCCAAATCTCTCTCTTCGTCGTAAATACTTTAGACTTTTACAGTTTTTCAAAATTTATCATCGTCTAAGTCCTGTTTCTCTCTTTTACACTATTCATCGTCCTCACTACTCATCTTTACGTCTTCATCACTCTAAATACGTTCGTCTTCCACCTTCTGTTGATGGTTTTTCTCCACAAACGGTGCATTCTTCATTTTTTTATTCAACTACTACTGATTGGAATAATCTTTTAGAGTCAGTTATTTGTCTTTCTTCTTTTATGTCTTTCAAAACAGCCTTACTTCAGTATCTCTTCCAGTGAAACGCTTGTCAGTTAAGCGTTTATGCTTATTCTTTTTGCATGTTTTTTGTTTTTTTTTTAAAAATTTTTTGTTTTCTTTTACTACTTCTGGTTCTAACCTTAGTTGTCTTCTTTATTTTGTTATTTCTTTTATTACTATTTTGGTGTTGTTTGGCTTGAGTCATGGTTATTACAGGTCGGTGACCTTTGATAACTCTCACTTTTCGTGAATAAACAATCTTAGTCTTAGTCTTAACTTTACTTAGGTTCTCGTGAGACCTCACAAATATTTGCTACGCATTCATATTATTTCAGGCTTCTGTACATTAAGTAAAACGAAAGACAGAAGTAGTATTTCTTACGGCTGCAATCAAACCAGAGTTATTATATGATGTTGTGCGTATCTGCGTTATGTGTCTCAAACGGAAATTAGAATTTGTTCTATCGTACACTTTCGCATTTCTTTTTTTGAAAAAGGAGATGGAATAATATTACTAGTAGTAAAAAGATGACGTACAATTCAGCATATTAATATCTACACTATGACGGCCCACACAACATATGCATTAATTATGAATAATAAAAAGTCACAAGTCTACCATTAAAAAGTAGTTTGAACAATGCTCATGTACTTTCCTTTTTTTTTGTTTTATTTGCAAGAGAAACAAAATGAAGAGGGGTTGCTGTCAAAGATAAAAGGAAAGAAAAGGAAATTATCATATTCTCATTGAAATGGTAGTTCTTATTAGTCTTTCTCGTAGATTTTTCTTTTTAAAAAAAATGATCACTTCATCAAGAGAAAGAAATGGAGCAACATCCAAAAATATGATATCTCGTTCAGATCCGGATACGGAAGCCAAAGTACGATCTTCAATAAAATTATTAAATGAAACGATACAAAATAATGCAAATGAACCATCTCTAGCCTTTTTTAGGATACAGGTATCTTTATTCATATAGATGGTTTAAAGGAGAAGAAGAAGAAAGTGACAATTTTTTACCTTTTTGTTAGGAACATGTTCGAAAGACACTACCTACAATGCTTCAGAAACGTACTGAGTTAGAAAATTTACAAGAACATATTGACGGACTTGTATTTGACATTGAATATTCGATGGATGCTGTAAAAACAATATTAAATAGTGAATCTCATTTTAGTGTAAGTATCAGCATTCTTAAGCTTCTATTTCGTTGCTTTTTTGAAGAAAGAAAATGTATCTTTTATTCTAGAATATTCAAACACAATTAGAAAAAGCTGTATTTCTTCAAAAACAAATTAATATATTTCGTCAACAACAAATACAGCAACAATTATTTGAAAAACGTGATGAGAAATTATCGAATACGAATCAGACAATTGTAAATACATCGTGGTTCAACAGAAAAGGAACACCTTCTTCATCACCAGCAGTCACACATGGAACCCTACAACGTAAACTAGATGTAGACGGATCTTTATCGTCATCTTTTGAACAAAAACATGAACAATCATTATCTTGACAAAATATTTCTGTATATTTATTTTAAAAAAATTGAAATACAATTTATATATATTAATAATTGCAATATTTATTTTCAATAAAAAGAAAATTCAAAAACTCAAAAAATTATTGTAAAATCTGGTTATAAATATTAGTAGCTAATAGAACACCAGTTGTACAATATAATGTTCGTTTGAAGTAGAGATCTTAAATATTAAAAATAATTTTTGAGTTATAAAGAATTTTATTTGATCTATTTATTTCTTTAAGAATTATTTTCTCAATGTTTCTGATTTTTGAATTTAGTTAATGTTAATATGTAGCAAATATCCTAACTTTTTTCTTCTAGTAAAGGATTGTATCATTTTATTGATCATGAGCTTTTTTTGTTCGCCTATTTTCATTACCATATTGTTGAATGATTTTGAAATAGAACAGCTAACGTCAACATTAAGTCCGTTTTTAATAGTTTTAAACTATTTTTGTTTGTTTTAGATGTGATCGATGATTATTTCAGTTCGATGAGTATTAATAAGATTTTACTCAAAAACAAAAAAATGTAATGACTTAGTAAAAAAGCTTTAGTCTTGTATTTCACACAACAAGGTGAGATTAAGATCAATGAAGAAGAAAAAAAATAGTTCCGATGAAATTTCTGAAACTTTTCAATTCATTTATTTCGATATAGCCAGAAAAACATATCATGAACAAGCCAAAATGAGGTTATATTAAAAAATTTTACCTGTCAAGTGAGAAAAACAAAAACAAACAAATACAGAATGAGTCTGAAGTAATAAATACAAGTAATTTAATGATTTGTTTGAACTAAGTATAGTTTTTTAATAGTTCTCTAAATAGAGAAAAGGATATCTATGTGCGATTTGTGCTGGTATTATACCGTTAATATCCGAGAAGTAAAAATCCAATAACTTTTTTTTACTGAACGAATCTTTTTGAATCCTTTTTCATTTTACTTGTCTAACATTTGCACACTACCACTAAGGACTGCAGTTCTTTAGCTGCTCTTGTTATTGTACTATAACAGTTACATTGTCGCACGTCAAGGTTGTTGGTGCCTTCTGCCCTTGAAAAATGAATTTTTATCTAAAGACGAAATAAGTTCTAATTCTTTTTCTGAGGAATAATTTGAAGCTGAAGACTTTTTCTGAAAACAATCTTCATACACTAAATGTCCCGTGAGATTTTCAATTTTGTTTTCCTAATATCTCCGTGAATATTCAACTTTTCAGAGCGATTCTTTTATCCTTTTTTCCCTTTACGATGTACAGCAAATGCTCAAAGCATTTTGTCGTTCTTGAAAAAAATGTCCCGTGAGATTTTTTCAGTTCACAACATCCCGTTAAGGTTAAATCCGTCATGTCTCCATGAAAAATACACTAAATTTAACTTTATCGTAAACCATTTGATAAATCCTGGCGATACAAATCTAGTGATGCATGTCTGGCAGCCTTGTCACGTAGTAGTTGCTTTTTTGAGGCTGAAAAATCTTGAATAATACATTTTCGCAGAAATTTGCATAAAAGAAGCCTTCACTGGCAATAAAATGCATTGAATCGCACATGCCTCATCGAGGTCTATCGCTTGATGTATTCGAACAAAATTTTCAAAGTCATTTTATGTCGTCTTTATCCCAATCGGCTCGGGGATTATTATACTTTTCGTAGCGAAAACCCGTTTTCTGAGAAACATAAAAGTAGCGGTCAGAAAAATTAGTTTTTTACCATCGCTTGGGCTATCAGAATTTACTGATGTAGTCAAAAAAACGTCCAGAAGATAGTTAATTTTTTTATGGTTTCTTTCACGGAAATGGTACAATCGTAACGCAAATCTCACGTATGTACAACAATAGGGGCAATAACGGTTTGTGACAGATAGAAAAGAGAAAGATGATGACTTTGTTTGATATTTGTCCAGCGCCACTCTTCTGTCGTGGTCAGATCGATGAGAGAAAAAATGCTGCTGGCAGATGTTAGTTCAATAGTTTGATATCTTTTCTACAGTTGATGACGAGAGACTGACGTTAAATAACAGAACTAATAAGAGGGGAAGTAGAAAGATGACTTGCTTGATTTTTTTATAAAAATGAACTAAATAAAAATTTAGACAGTTTTAGGATCTAAAGGAGTACTTCCGAGTCAACTGGTTAATCTTCCGTCGGCTCTCTCATTTTCTTCTAAGCCGTGCAATGCACATTAATTTAAATTATACTATGTATTTATTTATTTTAGGAAGTTTTAATTTTTTTTGATATTTATTGGTGAACTATCATAAAAAATTACAATATGCTCGTAACAAATCACATGAGAAAAATTGGAATTATATCAACGACTGCAACTATAGCAGCTATTAGTAAGTGAAAGTTTTATTATCACAAGATGATATTATAAACATTGTCTAGTCTCATTCAGGTTTAGTTTACGCCTTGTATGCCTATCGTCATCGTCGATCGCGTTCTCGCTGTAATAATAAGAGTAATTTGCATTATCAAAATCATGTAATAAACTCAGCATATGAGAGATCTGAATCTCAAGATGGTCAGTAGCAAATAGGACAGATGATTAGACTTTATTAGTAACAGAATAATATTTCGTTTTTAGTATGGGAAAATGCGAATGATACTTTAACAAAAGAAATCATTCACACACCCGAACAGTTATATAAGCATGGTTTGGAACATTTAAATGTTGCCATTGATTACTGGAATCGTGCGTTAAACTACATCGACACTATAATACCCTCTATACAAAGTCAACCAGATTTGCTCTTACAAACCAATAATGAAATCAATACAAATTTATTATTAACATCAGTGGATACAACTAATCATTCTGAATTAAAACAAAAACTTCAGTTTTTATTATCCAAAGTTGCTATTCCATCGAATATCACTGATTCATTGTTTACAACGATTGATACTCGAGCATCATCTCCGCTATTCTCATCGCCAACAACCTTCGTTTCATCATTCACTCGACAAGAGTCTATTCGACAACAACAACAAACAGCATTAAACGTTCAAAATGATCTAAATACATTCAACGATAGACGTTCTTTATGCTCACTACGTTCAAGGGACAGTTTTGAAAGTTGTGCAGATGTATGTTTTTATTTCTACTCTACTGTTCTATGTTTGAATTTCAAAAGATCCTTTTTATTGTCTACCACTTTATTGAATCGAAATGATAAACTTTTCTATATATTTGTTGTAACCTTTCAGTACAAAGTAATGAATCAAGATTTTTTTTGTTTAGGACGCTGAGTGGTTAGAAACAAGTGATATTTTATTCGATCCATTGTCATCATATTATTCCATGCCATCTTATTATGCATATGGTCTTCGTTTAGCTGAAAAAAATCAAGTACCATACAGAAAATTACGGTTTGTAATTTTTTTTTGATTATTGGAAAATTAATTCAACAATGAACGTAGTATCATTTGCTTAGGACAAAATTACTGACTTGTTCGTCAGATACAGATTATCTAGCCAAATTATTTTGTATTCGAAATGCATGCGATGTATGAATTTATTTCCTAAATAAATGTTCTATATGTATATAAACTCTTTTGCTCAGGAAGTCCTTAGTGGAGATGAAAAACGAGATTATATTAAATTAGTATCACGTGCAATTTGCGAAAAATTCTTAGAAAAATCATCAAAAGTATAAAAAAATTATTATTTCCAGCTAGAATAAATCTAAAAGATTTACATATTAATAGGATGCCACTCGATTTCTACAAGCATTTGAACAAATGAATGTTCTTATGGCTGATCCATCAAATACATCAATGATTATGGAAGAAATGTCTTCAGCGGGGGTATGTAGAGTAGGATATACATTTTCATTTATTAATCTAATTTTATTAATTTTTTTTAGATCAAGTCACCCACTATTTATAATGTAGGTATAGATTTTATGTTACTCGAAGGTTTTGAAATACTCGACTCACCGCCATCGGCAATGAAAACCATATTACAAAATAGATGGTTTTCGGAGAATTTTCGTGAACAAGTATGATGACTTATCTATATTAAAGTAAGATTCTTCTAATGATGCCTATCCTTGACAGGCACTGAATAAAGCCGTTTCATATGCATTACGTGTTAGACGAGCAACAGTAAAGGTAAGACTTTCATTAACATCTCTTATTTATAGTGAAAATATTATTTTTAACAGTTTAATTCACGATAAAGAGAAAGGTGTCTGAATTATATTGTTTAATTTTTTTATTGTATATTTTTAGTACAATAATGGCTTTCTAACGACATTTTTATCATTGATTGAGGATATGTCACCAGTTTTTGCGTGGGGTATTCTCGGTCCACCATCAAAAGTTAAGCCAATGTGTGTATTTTTAAAGGTATGTAAAACAATTTTGTTTTTTTATTTAAAAATAAAATGTTTAGTAGAGAAATTTCATTTGAGGATGCTGTCCTTGATTTTGCTCGATCATTGTACGATTTGAATCGTACTGATTATTCGTCATTACAGTCACTCATACAATCAATAGACAAACAATTACAAGATTTACTAACACGTATCGTCTTAGAAATGAATGTTGATCAGAGTCTGTTAATACAGCCGATTCAAAACAAAGCCGTACCTGTCTGATTAAAAAATAGATTCCTCTCAGAGAATGTAAGAAACAGTTGATTGTTTTATGCGGAAGATTTAATACTTTAAAATTTTTTGTTTTTGCTTTTATTGTAGAATCTCATTAACATTCCGATAAAATGTTTTATGTATGTTCACTCAATTTACTCTAGTCAATTCAGTCTAGCGGATTAATATAAATTGGAAGAAATATTTTTTCTTTTGGAATATTATCGATTTCATCTTCTGTCACAAAGTCCGATGAACAATCGAACATAGTATTCGTTATAATGTGAGCTTATTTTTGATATAATTGTTTGATTATAATTTTGCATTCTTTGTAGCTATATTAATTACAAACATTTATTATTCATATTAAAAGAGAATGAAATTGTCAATATTGTATTTCGCTTTTGAGAAAAATTTTGTCAGTAATAACGGGAAATTATAGGACAACGAGAGAAGTTGTATTGGATGTTAAACAGTCGGATCTAGTGGCTACTAGGATGAATTTGTGAGATAGTATAGAATATTCATGAATCTACTTTAATTAGTATTAGATATTTTAAATTTTAAAACTAGTTGAAAATCGTGCTTAACTAGCAATATAAAATCTTCTATCATTTCTTTTGCATGAATATGCCTCAATAGAAACGATTCTCGTCTAAAATGGATAACAACCGTTGCTGTTTTTCTACCTATTCTATTTCCTAAGGTGCTTTAAGTTGTTAGTCCATTATGTTTATAGTTAATCAGACTTTGATAAATACATATCATCTCTTCCTTCGTCTTACATCAACTTTTTATTTCTACGATTCTGTATGATATTATTTAAGAAGTGAGAAATATATCACATCGTGAATGAACTAAATCAGTTGGAAAATGTAATGAACTATCAATTTCTCTTTAACTTTTACTTTTGTTTTTTTTACCAATTATATAATATATATATAACTTCTATTATATTTTTATTAAATCAAGCAAAGACAAATTGTCTGAAAAAACATAACAAAAACGAAGGACAAGAAAAAAGAAACAGATATTCAAATTAAAATTATATACGCATACAGAATTCTCTATAGATGATTATAAAGTACTTGAGAATATATGGAAAAACGAATGTAGATCGGAAGGAAGATTTATAATGAATAGAAGACGAAGAAAATGTTTCCCTTTCGTATTATATGGGTGAATGAACAACATAATCAAACAAAGTGGTGTATGAACAGAATAATGATAAATCTGACTTTATAAAAGAGAAAAAAAATTGAGGACAAAAATATCAGCTCGAATCATAAAATTCACTTTCAACAGTATGTTCACGAAACAATTTATACCATGCTGTTGTATGTTGAGTTAAATTCAAATTATCTAACGAAATAAACGCTTCACCAATACATTGATTTTTTTCAAATTTTTTTGCACGTTGCCATACCATTACTTGAATACGACGACCTACAATTCAAATGATCGTCTTTTATTTGTTAAATTTGATAAAACTAAATACATATTTATAACTCCATCAGTTTCGATAACTACATACAGCAAGAGTATTCTCTACATTCAGTATATAAATTCTCTTACCCATCACATTACATGCATTATAATTTAATTTAGTACGATATTGTGGATTAAAATTATATTTAACAACTGTCGTTTTACGTTTCTGCACGCGTCGTGTACCCGTTCGAAGATAGCTGAAAAAGAGCGCAAATGTTTATATGTAGAATATCTCCTTGTAAGAGCGTTAGTTATCACAATTCTTATGTTGATTAACTTTTTAAAAATATCTATCTTTGACTTACGTTTTGACATAAGTATCAGGTGGTTCTAATTCATTATTTCCATTATTGTTACCATCAGTGACTCTTTTTAGCCCTTTAGCCATTATAACATCAATTTCAAGTAAACCTTTAGTTACCATCAAACCCAATTGAATTTGTCCCATATACAGATCATCATTGATTATATTTTCATAATTTCTTGGTGCTACTTGAGCTATACCGAGTTGATGACTATGTATGTTGCTACTATCTTCAATCGTATCTCCTAATGGCATTTGATTAAAATATCTATCAATATCATCTTCGCTATCACAATAAGAGGCGGCTGACGATTTTCTTGATCCAGAAATCGATGAATGTCGTGATGACATCATATATGGTGGTAATAATTGCATTTGTAATGAACCAAACGGAGGTAAGAGAGGTGGTGGTAATGATGGCTGTGGTAGAAGTTGTTGACATATCGATGAACGATTTGTAACCGTCATTGATGTCATTAACTCGTCATTTGGAATGAGACTAACGCGTGGCGAGGATGAAATTTGTACTGAAGTAACTGGATACATTTGTGTTGCACACTCTGATTGATGACGATTTGGACGAAAACTAGCTTGATTAGGACTAGCTGTAGTCGCATTTAGATCTACGTCATCTTCTTCACTATCAACGATCATATTCGATTTAGTTAAACTAGTATCGCTAAAACGTCGAAGTACAAATAATCGTGTGAGACCCTGAGATATACGACGTTTTAGTTTAGTTGAATTTGTTAACGTTTTTGAGTCATGAGTTGATAATAATCCTTCTCCAATACTTGAACGTTGTGCAGTGTTTCGAGCGGCACTATATTCTGGAAAAAGATGAGGCGATAATGTAGGAGTAGGGAAATGTTTTTGGTTACTATCTTGCAGATTTGTATTCATTTTATTTTTGTGACGTAACCGTACACCCTGATTCTGAGATCCTAACGAACTTCGTCTATCATTAGATTCATTTATTAAATTATGTTTTGGAGATTTTTTTATTGTTGTACGATTTAACGCACGCAATAATAATTCATTCCCACTTCCACCATCACCACCGCCGATAATCCGACGGGTCGGTACTTTAACTAGACTATCTTGACTTTCATTCGATGACGATTTAAATGTTACACTTGTTGTTGATGGTTTTCGTATTTGTCTGTCGCGTAATTCGTACCAACGTGGTTCATCTTCTAAGTTAGCTTCTAACAACGGTAATTGAACCATACCGATGAATTCATCATTTTCTTCGTGAGTATTATAATCTTGTTTTTTTTTATCCCATAAAAATATTTCTAAATTTAATACATCCACCTTTTCAACTTCATGGAATACAAATGTTTCATTCCATACCTAGAATTCAAAATATGAGATTATATGTTATTATAACATGTAGTAAACTATACGTACAGGATTACATGAATGAATTACTTTTGTTTCAAACATATCAAAACCACGATCATCGAATAACATTTTACCTAATGAATTATATGATTTTAATTTAATAGAGAATAGTAATTTAGAAAGTATATCATACCCGCGATATAGGTATAAGGGGAATCACCATTAGGTCTTAATGGTAAATTTCCTGCTTGAATAATTGTTAATGCTAATTTTAAGTCTTCAACATCGTGCCAAATTTGTGCTAAAAAAGTGAAACAAATCTTAATTTATTTAAATTCGATTATAAATGATATAATGAGCGTATATACCTAACAGACGACCTCTATTGATTAAAATTGGTTTTAATTCTTTGACATTAGGTACTTCAAGTGTTTCTACTGTTTCGTACAATTGTCTCTTTGATTGTGGAAATGTTGATGATAGAGACGGTGGCAGTGGTGGCAAATTGCGTCGTTTTCGTGTTAATGATGGACCCAAACGTGGAACAGTTTCAAAATGTCTTGATATTTCTAATGATGTCATATTTTGTCCGTTCATTTGTAATCGAACATTGTTATGTTGGACAACTACAAATTATTTGTCAAAATTGTTCTACTAGAGAAAATTTCACAGTTTTTCAATAAAAATTAACTTACCCAATTGAACAATATCACCACAATGATCTTGCAAAGTGCGAACCTCTTCGTACGTGGAATCAATTAATGAATGACCATTAAATTCGAGTATTTGATCGCCTACTTCAATATTTCCTTGTACATCAGCAGGTCCTCCATACAATATCATTGTAACAAAACATCCTAAAATACTGCAGTAGATATATCTCAACAACAATGAGTTTTCCTCACCGCGCTGTATTTACCTAAACTAGAATCTTCACATTCTTGACCACCCACTATTCTCATACCCAAGCCATTAGTTCGTTTCGATGCATCATTTTTATCTCGATGAAGTAAGACACGATGCGGATTTGAAGGTGGCGTACGTGCGCGAAGTTTTGAACTTTCTTCGGCTTGTAAAAATATATTTTCGCATGTTTCTATCGTTTTTCGTCGGTCACCACCAGTTGAACAAGATGTTGGTATTGGTAACAAGGTAGAATTGGCTGTATCTTTCATCATAGTGGCAAACTCGGGTTCATTACCATAGTAGTAATCTTCGGACAATGTGTGACGTCTTAGTTTTGGTGGTTTACTTGAATAATAACAAAGAATAAGTAGATCTTTACATCATATGTGTCAGAGAATTTTAGTTTTACGAAATTATCGTACCTTAATGAAATTTCTATGCTGTTATCTTGTCGTATGATTATTTTTCTTGGTGTTTTTGGCACATGTTCACGTTCGACACTTGAAGAGAATGTATCTTGTTTGGATATTTTTGAATATAACATTCGCCGTCGAACTATATCCGATAAATCTTGTTGTTTTCTAAATAAAAGGAACAAAATTATTAAAATGACGAAGTAAAATCAGCATTTTATTATTCAACTATTTTTAGTGAACGAATGAACATGAATAAAAGTAATAGAAGTCACCTTACCTTACAATACAAGGATAATCGATTGATCTTTGCGGTAATAATCCACTATTAACAGTAAGAAATGATTTTTGACGAGATAAATTTGATACGTCAATTGATTTTGCATTTTGTGTATGCTGTAGTAACACTTTTGGTGCTAGACGAGATTTTTCTGAAGCAGATGAATCAATACTTTTACTTCGAGTTGAACGATTAGTTAATGAATTTTCTCTCGGTCCGATTGCTGGATGTTTATCGATTGTTGTCGATGATTGTATTAGTTCTGCTACAAATTTATCCGTCATTTCATCTTCACCATTGAATTGCGGAGCATTAACATCATTCAGTGGACTGAAGCCAGATGAAGTTGTCCCACTCGATGACGATGTTTGCTTCGTTGTATGTCGGTTATTTGTATTACTTTTATTATTTGAGGGGCCCGGTATGGGAGGTAAACGTCTCGATGAGCGTCGACGGTGTAAACCACCACCGAAACTTTCTGAAGGAGAATTATCACATTTTCCGCCTGACGTTGATGTATTCATACTCGAAGAGTTTGTTCTTGCACCATCGCTGATATTCGATTGTGGGTTGTGTAATCGTCGTTTTTCTTCGTGTTTATGTTTTGGTGAACCCTGAGGATTTCCTTGATGAGGTAATGAACCACCTGTTGTTCTTTTTAAACCAGCAGAAGACACAGTCGACGGGTACGATGTTGATATAGAGGTAAGACTATTTGTTGATAGTGGATTATTATTACTTGTGTCTTCTTTGCCTTCCACTGTCGTTGTCCATTCATGATCTCTCTTCATCAGAGCTCTTTTTCTTGCCCATGATTCGGAATTTCGAAATACTGATCGGCTAGCTTTTCGTTGTAAATGATCACCGTCATTTTCATTAGTCGTAGAAGCAATCATCGATGCGGAAAAATAATCCATTGCCTGAAATGAATATTTAATCAAAACATTGTTTTCAAATGCTAGGATATTCCTTCAGCGGAAACACTGATTGAGTTATGTAAATAAATAGAGGTTTTATATTTGAATTTCATTCTTCAGATCCATCTTAATCCTTTTTAAAGCAGTTCGACTATTAACAACGTTTGCCATATCCGTTCATCGTTCGATATATTAACCATCTATATAGACGTCTTTGTAATTAGACCTATTTCTAGATTATACAGTGGTGGGCAAAATCATTCGTTCGTCACTACCCTGTGCTCGGTAGTGATGAACGGATGACGGACAAAGCACCATTGACTAGTTCACAATCTCTTCTGTACTTGTGCTAATTCTTAACATTCATTCATAGTCTTAGCTGTTTTACTAACAAATTAGCAAAATATTATAACTCTTTCGTTAGATGAATCCGACTACTGTTAAAATAAAACTTTTTTGAAGGTAAAAAGGGTTGGTAATTGGTTTAATATTGAATTGAATATCTTCTCTCGTCCTCGCCTTGAAACAGAATCAGCAATTTTTGGAGTAATATTCAAATCGATTTTATTCCATTGATCGAGCAGAATTGGTTTTAATTCATCTTTATTCGGTTGATGTTTTTATATTCAATTTTCAAGTTAATCTTACATTTACTTAATAGAATTTATGTCAGAAGAATTAGGAGATGACGGAAGAGTATTAATCTTTTCATTTTTCAGTCATTCTTTAACCGATTTTGCAGTATGTCTGGGATCATTGTCATATTGGTTTTTTTTTATAATCTTAATTCTTTCACTAATAATAAGAAATTTTTTTCAAGTTTTTCATGATAATAATGGTGAACTACACTATGATCAAGGAAAATTAATTTTCTAAAATCGCTTTGAGCGAAACACATCCATACTAATACGCTAACGTCACCGGTTTACTACTGATACTTTAGATTTTGAATCAAACTTTTTTTCTGTCATATCCTAAACCATTATTTTCCCATCTAATCCAAAAAGATTGAATTTTGATTCATCTAGTCATAAAACGTTGCTAAAATAGTTGAAGAAATAAATATTAGCATAATTAATCTACTTAATATGATTTACTCTATTGGCATATAATCGTTTTCGAACAACATAACTGAATAACGCAATTTGATGTGATCATCATTTAAGCATACTTTCAGAAATGACTATACAAAGTTCATATTTCTTTTCTATTTTAACAGACATAGCTAATTTACATTGATTTACTTTTAATTAATTGAAGAATGTCTGATAACTAAACGTTGAAAATTGCTAGATTACTCGCATTTTTAGGATACCATTTAACAAGTTAGTCATAAAATCTATAACTGTTCTTTTGTGCTTATATTTGATTCGTTGAACATACAATCAGCTGACTTGCAAAATAGGAAGAAAATATGCTCAAAAAATAATTCTAACTGATAATAGACAGCGAAGATTTAAAAGTAGTACAAATATAGACGATGCTATCTATAGTGGAAACAGCTACACGGTAGTGAAAAATCTTCGTTCAGTAGTATGTTGTATCAAAGATTGACACTTGAAATAATATTATAGAGTAGTAGTGAAGGAATAATTTTGGTTGTTAATAGTAATATATTTTCCTATTAGAAGTGTCTTTTCTTAAAAAAATATTTTGTACCAAAAATATGCCTTTTGTGTCTTTGGTGTTTAAATGTTTGGATAACTTTATAAGAAAAAGGATGTTTATCATCAAGGTCAATTTATTTAGCGTTTTTATGATTCAATTCATTTGTCATAAACACGCTTTATCGTAAGAAGCAAACTTTTAATATACATCGGAAATATGACAATCTTTTTGTTTAAGAAAAGAAAAAAATATATAGCTCTATACGGTCTAAGAAAAAAACAATTTTTTTTTTATCATTCTCTTTTGTCTATTATAATTTTATATTTAACGCACATAACACAAACACTATACATCGGAAATATAACTTGGGTCTACTATCGGTTTGGTCTAATAATGACGTTCAATATTAAGTGTTTACTTATGAGAAGACTTGATTAAAGGATAAGAATTGGGATACCAAATTAACATTGCATAAAAAAGAAAATAGAATTGCTCAAGTTTTGTACGAACATCAGTTCTTTTCAACCTATTATAAGAAAAATATAGATCTTTCGAGTTCTTTTTCAACAAAAAGAAAAGAGAAAGGAAAAGATAATACCTATCTTGAATTATAAAAGATATTTTACGTTCTACTTTAATATCTATCTATTGAGAAAACCTTTGATTGATGATTTATTAATTGGATCTGTATGCACTACTATTGTTTAACAACAAAATATAAAAAGATCTATTCTCAATGGAATTTATTTAACTTTGCATTTGATGAACAAAAACATTGTGAATGAGAACCAATTTTATGATATGCTGAATAAAATGTTCGATATTATAAAGAAAAAAATTTTCATTGCTGACAACACGACTTTTACTACTATATAGCGTTCTCTACCTTTCAACTCTTGAGGGAACTATCATTAATCTTCTTAAATTTGTTTATTAAAAATAAAGTTAATGAACTGAAGTTGTTAACAAAGCGAAATTTTCCTCTAGAATGAAACTAATATTTCTTCAAAGCGATAATTAGCGAAAAGAAAGAAATATAGCTTTTCGTTCTGTATATCCTAATTGGTCATTGAACGTAGTCATTGAAATTCTCTTATAATTTCAACAGTGTCAACATTACATGAGAAGAAAATACATGTATTGTGATATATTTCCTTCACACAATCTTTTAATAGAGACTTTTCCATTCGTTTTCTTTTAAATATATACAATAGCCTATTATGAGTTATAAGTGCACCAAATAAATTCATTTTTTCTTTAATGAAATGGTACTATGTGCTGAAGAGAACAATGAGGAGATATTAAATTTATGTCTCGAGTACTTAGCTAAACACTTACCATAGATAAGTCAATGTTGGCCTCCGGAGATGCTAGACTATCGGCGTGTTCTACTATATATCTTGCATTTCCGTGATGATTATTTATATTACTGTTTGCTGATGGCATCGTTAAAATTGTTGTTGTAGTTGTATTGTTAAATTGTTCGTTTAAATAAATATTAGTATTCAGGCGACTTTGTCTTTCATTATAACTTACATACGGCATATGATCTTCATCATCTGTTTGCATCACGCGTGGATTACCGCCGTTGTTTGTCTCGAAACTCTCGGATCTTATTTCACTTACGGTATCATATGGTTGATCAGATTGTGAATAGTCTTCGAAAGATGGCTCTGTAATTGTACTAGATGTATTCTGAGTTTCTAATTTTTTTGTCGTTTGACTAGTCGTATTATCAACTAACATTGAATCATCTGTTGTTCGAGGTATTTCTCTTATTAACGATATACGTTTAGTGTTCGGAGATGAAGGTATGGGCGGGGATGAGGTATTTGTGTCGATTGGAGATGTTGCGCATATGTCGGATAAATGATCAAACGACGATTCATATTCATGACTAGACAAAGGAAGATGTTCAGTGATGATATGATTTGGCGTAGCTAAAGATGATGTATCACGTCGCCATAGACGAGAAAAAAAATTCGATGGTTCTAAAATGAATGGTTTTCGTTCTATTATGGACGATGATCGAATAGTAGACGTTGGTGATGACTGTGTCGGTGAAGTATTAGTCGATTGTGATGCTGTACGAAACACGGCTAGTTTATGTAGTAATCTTATTGGTGAGTGTATGAAACTTTCCTCACCAATATTCCAAGTACCTGATTTCTTAATAACTTCTCGTTTCACAAGACATGTACGACAACGCCATTTTGATGTTGAATGATTTTCATCACTTGGTTGAAAAAGTAAGTCGGGACTCGTATAATTGCCACAGCGTCGACAAACAGGTCGGTGACAATCGTGGCAGTAACGTAATTGATCACGATTACCTATCACAGGTGAAGATGACAATGGACTATTTTGATTGGATACTGCCAAACAAATATAACAACAATTTGTTGTTGATGCTGTTGTAGAGATATCTGTAGTATTATCCAATATTAAACGTTGTTGATTATCATTCCTAATTGTCTGCTGCAAATGGATCATTGTCTTTCTTAATCCTGCTAAACTTTGATTTTGTTCGTATTCAATCTCGGCTTGTTTTTGTAGTACTTGTTCTAATTGTTCAAGTTCATTATTTGTTAGTGTTGAAAAATCCGGTGAAGGAGGACGGATAAGCTTATGTTCCATGGATGACTGAGTATATTAATACAGAGAAAAAGAGAAAAAAACTTGGAGGAAAAAAGGAAACGAGAAGATATTATTAATGTTCAGCAATAAATCAAAATATATATCTAATAATCATGTTGAAAGTAAAGACAGAATTTGTATTTAGTGAAAAAAACAGATTAAGGTAAAAAAAGAAGAAAAGAAAAAGAAAAGACGTTGAACATCAACGTAAGAACAAAAACAAAAATGGCTTTTCCCTTTCTTCTTCTCTTTTAAATGGAGTAATTTAAAAAAAATGTCATATTATTATTATTAGTTGTCGGATAAGAATGGAAACGAAGAAGAAGAAGCAAGAAAAAAAAAAAGCATGAATGAAAAAGATCTCTCATCAAAGTACTAACAAACCTAGCATAGCATACACTATTAATAAGCAATGTCCTGTTGTATCGTATTCAAATGTGTCAAGATCGTATACTTTGGAGTCGGTAAATTACAGTAGAAAAATAATTTTTGTTCAAAATAGAAGAAGAAAGAGGAACATCGTATTTGAAAAAAATATACTTAGAGACTATAAGTATTGAGGAATTCAAACATATTATGCTCACAGAAAGACAAATAATATAAAAAAATATGTTTGTGCGTGTGTGTGAGAAAGAGAAATATATATTAGAACTACGAAAAATAGCGATTTGCTTTTCTTTCTTAAACATATTCCGTTATGATAGCGTTGTAAAGAAGAATTCATACGCTTTTCTCATTCTTTTTCGTTTCTTTCCGTTCATCATGTATAGCTCTATGTAGTCATAGGTATTTCAAGGAAAAAATATTCGTGTGTATCGAAATCGACATAGCAGAAAACGTGGTGTACTCTCAAAAACTCATCAAACAAACATCCTTGTTGACTTCATCTTTTTTGTCTTATAATATAAGTGCTGAGACAATGCCGCATGCTTATATAATGACCATGGCACTTAACTATCAATGTTGTGTTATGATTAATATGACGATAAGTAAAAGTAACTCTAATAGTAAACTGTTGCTACCTAAATAAATTTCAATGCAGTGCTAATTTGAACAAGCGAGCTCTTGTTGGCAGAAGTATACCGACACTTGTTAGATAAGGATGCAAACTGGTACTAGGAAGTGCCAGTACCTTTTCGAAAACGTCATTAACTTGCGTAACGAAAAATTTGTTTTACGTTCTTTTCAAAATTGTCTCCTGAAAAATCCTTGGATATCCGAATACATTGCATATTTAATCTTCATCCGTAACCCACGTATTTATAAAACGTCGTCAGACACGTGCTAATCGTACTGAGTGTAAATAGCAAGAAATTGTTCTTACTCTATATCATCGTGAAAATCTCTCGATTTCTACTTCACTTTTCGATCCTCATAAATTTTGAAACTATATGTAAAAGCTGTTTTTCTCATTTCTCTGTATTAAAGTTTATACTTCAGTGATCCAATCTATTTCAATAAATGTGAACAAAGATGATCTCTCCAAATCTCACTTTTCTTCTTGCTATTCTTTTGTATTTGTTGATAATTCTTTTTAAAATGTTTTTCTCACGTCTTCCGGTTTTTCTGATATATGTCATTTTCAAAATTGCATCATATTGGTCGTTCTCTACACTTACGTCTGTAAATGTTATAACTTTCTTTTAATATCGTTCCATTTAGTTTTTAAGGGGGGTCCTGACATTCAGATTTTTCGTTTAGTTTCTAGAGCACACTTTGAAAACTAGGAATTAAAACTTTTTTCATTTTCCGCAGTGCAAGTTTTTTCAGAAAAAACTTTTGAAGTTACTTAGTGGTTTTTTGTCCATCTTCTATAGAAATTTGTTATTTTTGAATCTAAAATTTGTATAGAATTTTTGTTTTTGGAGATGAAACGCCAATTCTTCCGCTAATCGCTTGGGCACATCGAGATGTACCCTGGAAAATATTTTCATTGTTTTCTGATGCAGTTTGACTGAGATGTTTGAATTTGACCTGGCCGATTCACTTTTGGAGCAAAAAGTATTTCTGAAAACCTTCAGCACGATTTCGCTTCAGAGAAGCATTTTAGAACAAAAGTTTCGTTACAAATGTTGTTCAAAATCAAATTATACATCAGATGAGCGAAGGAGATTTTGGAAACTCGATTTTTGAATCAAAATTTACGAAAAATTCGACTACTAAAGCAGTGTTTTGGGATTTAAAAATCGACTTTTCAGGCCGATAAAAATTAAAAAAATTTTCTAGAGAACTACAGGTTCCTAAACCCCCAAACTCTTTTCATATATATTTTGAAGTGTTCTCTATAATATGACAAACTTTGAACCAAATCTGAATGAGAGGACTCTCATTAATAGTTGCACTTTGAATGTGTCCTTCTTCTGTTGTTCGCTGTCCTGGCGTTTTTGTTTTACACGAACTAGGATGAAGTTATGAATATGTCAGATACATTCATTCCTCTTGCTGTCTGACATGAACTGAGAACATTGAGTCATGCTTTAGGTACTTCTCTTCAGAAGTTCAGTGTCGGATTTTCTTCTATGTATTTTTTAGATTTCAGATCATTGCTCTGCCTTGTATGATATGATATAATTCGTTTTCTCATTCTATTCTTAATTCTATCGGGAATCCTGGTACAGATTTCATCTCTAATACACAGATCACATTATACGAAATATGGAAGAACTTTATCGTAATACAATAAGAGAAAATTTTTGAGTAAAATTCTCTCTCGCATTACCTGAAGATTTTCTTTTCTTATATAATATTTGGTTTAAACTTTATTATAGAGGAAACAGTAATCAAGTTGGGCTGTGCCCATTGCATGACACTGATTTGTTTTCATGTTTACACCCGCAAGTAGATAGCACGTACGACTGTAAGAAAAAGAAGAGTAACAATTTAAACTGAAACTCCTCTTTCTTTTTGATAAATTACTATTCTCATCCGATTTCTCTCTTCTATATCGACGAAGACAATCTCAATTGTAAAAATTAAACAATATAAAATATATAACTTTAACATTTTACACAGTACAAAATGAGTACTGGGCAGCATTAAAGTCTGTTGTTAGAGAGCTATAGCTAATATCAGTTCGGTCTTGACATATAGTATAGCGGTATAGTCAGAACAGCTCAACTGCAAGACGTCATACCAGATTAACTTTCCTAACGAACCGATATCAACATTACAATTCAAAGCGAGCGCTTTTCTCAGGAAGTTCAAGCTTGAATGTGCTCTTCAAACATTACCTTATCGATTAAACTCATAGGCGAATTAAAAGATATCAACCTGTCTTATATTAATGCATTGTTCTGCCACTACTGAAAACACAAGCGACTATCTCTATTTCAATTGGCTGACACAGCTGACCTATCATGGATAGTTATCCGTATGTTTAACATTTTTATTTACTCGGTCTTTGCTTATATTAGTATATTGTATCTCTTAATCTGAATATCATTGCGTCATGAGCTGAATAAAATCTAATTGACAGCATTGACCTAAAGCGTGAAAAAGGGTTGTTTTTAGTAAAAACGTTTTACTCAATAAAGTTTTATAAGTTAGGTTTTATTGGATGATGTTTGGCTTCTTTTTTCAGATTTTCTGGTATTGTCTATTTATCACATAAGTTCATAACATGAGTTTGGGTGAACCACTAATGCTTCATCTTTTTTTGTAGGTCACTGTGTTGTTAAGGCCTCCTTCCCGTCAGAAATCTATCTCTGAAAGTATAAGCCCGATCGTGACCAGACTTTTAGGAGATGCTGATCTTGTCAGAGTATGGTGAGGAGATTTTTTGTTTGGCTCCATCTGGCACGGTTTGTGAGATATCGCCACAATAACAATCAAAATGGGACTGTTCGTAGTTGAAAGATTTCTCAGTAACGAAAGATTATGGCGAGCTCGGGGTGATCTTAAGTCGATGAAAACACATCTGGCTAGAGGCTAACAGAGCCGGATTTTTGATATTTTACGTTTTGAATTTATGGTCAGCGTCAAAGTCCAAAATTCGAAAAGTTTCATTAACTAGCATAAAGATACTTTTCTAACCAGAAATCTAGATCGAACATCAAAAATTGGGCTCTGTTAGCCTCTAGCCACATGTATCAGCTTCAATTTGAGACCTTTCCGAGCTCTCGTTACCCTGAGTTTCGTTACCGAGAAATCTTGCAGCTACGGAATGGTGTTAAGGTGACAGTTGCTTTCGAGATATGGTGGCGCTAGTATCTGATGCATGTGTTAGGGCTTCCAGCAAAGCTCCATTAACTCTTGATTAGAATATCCCTCAGAGATTAATGGGCAATAATTTCAAAATAAAAAACACGATAACAACAGCGTTTTTTAATTCCATTAAAGTATTTTATGTAGTAAAATACTTTAACGAAGTTAAACAACGCTGCTGTTATTATGTTTTTATTTTGAAATTATTGTCCATTAATCGTAATAATATTAATATTTTATTCGTTTAATAAAACCCGGGATTATCAACAAACGTCGATAGACAACGTATTATCTCGGACCATATCACTCATTCACAATCTGATGGAGAAACAAGAGAAATTGTAAAAGATTTTTGTAATATTTCTGAAAGCGCCTTAGTGGAAAAAGAAAGAAAGGAAGATTTATATAAAAAGCCTTTGATGTAGAAAGAGGAAAAATATTTCACGGCCAATCGTATCTACTAGGTGTACTGCATACATGTGGTATGTATGAAGATATTCATGAGTATCTACGTGAGACTATGGATAAATCAGAAATATGGCAACTAAAAAATCATGTCAAAGATTATCGAAGGAGCCATTCAAAAATCAACGCTGTTAAATAATCTACAAAAAGTGTTCGATACTATATTCACTTGTTATAAAGTTGATTTTACTGCATTAGATCCAAGCTCAAAACACAAGCAAGCAACTTTTCTCATAAACGAATTCGAAAACTTATACTCTGTTCTTAGTAATAACGTACATGCACAATAACCATCAAAATCTGAGCAAGAAATAACAATCAATATTCAATCA